ACAGACAGACAGACAGACAGACAGACAGACAGACAGACAGACAGACACTCTGTTTTATTGGCCATGCTCGTTTTTTTTTCAAGCTTGCTTATTTATTTATTTATTTATTTATTTATTTATTTATTTATTTATTTATTATTGTTTTAGCTTATCAGCCAAAACACACAGCTTAGTTACACAAATATTAAACAAGAAAACAGCTGAGATGTGATGTGCCTTGAGTCATGAGTCCCCTGAGAAGACCACAGACATTCACTACTGACGTTTGGCTTTGGTGCTTGCACATAAACTTTCTTCAGATTCTTGGAGTCTTTTTATAAAAATATAAATTGTAGATGACAAAAAAAAATCAAAGTACTCCCAAATGTCTATTAGGGAACATGATTTTAAAATTGGGGCAGCATGGTGGTGCAACTGGTAGAGCTGCTGCCTCTCAGCGAGCAGGTCGCCAGTTCAAATCCCAGTCCAGGGGCCTTTCTGGGTGAAGTTTGCATGTTCTCTCCGTGCATGCGTGGGTTTTCTCCAGGTACTCCAGTTTCCTCCCACAGACCAAAAACATGCATGTTAGACTGATTGGTGACTCTAAATTGTCTCTAGGTGTGAGTGAGAGAGTGAATGGTTGTTTGTCTCATGTGTCTCTATGTGTCCCTGTGATGGACTGGAGACCTGTTCAGGGTGTCCCCCACCTCTCGCACAGTGACTGCTGGACATGGGCACCAGTGACCCCCGTGACCCAAAAAGGAAGAAGCAGGTAAAAGATGATGGATGGATGGATTTTGAAATTGCTCCATTAGTTTTAATTGCAGTTTTTCACAGATTAACCTCTGCTCATCGGTACTTCTGAAAGATTAAGCCTGTTCAAAAATCTTTTTTTAATGATCTGTCATTTTACTGACCAGTTGCCAATAATTTTAGTTTGTTGCAAAATTGTCTACCTGCAATTTTTTTTATGCCACTTACTTTAACAACTTGTTGCCCTTCTTCCAGCTGTTTTGAGATGTGTTGCTGCAGTCAAACTTAAAATTCGCTTCCTTTTTCTCGAAGGTGGTCCAGTTTCTTAGTTGAAACACTTGACATGTTCATGATGTTCAACTGAGACTAAAATTTGGGTTTCACAAGATTTGAAAATAATTGCTTTAAGTTTTTCATGACGTTTTACACAATGTCCCAACTTTTTCAAATTGGTGGTACAATTACATTATCTTGATATTAATGTTCTGACAAAACATATTATTGTGAAACATTTATGACATAAATTTAAATCATAGCCACTTTAAAAGAAATCGCAAGAGGAGTAGAAAAATGAATCCCCAGTACAACCGTTTTATGAGTTTGTATCCCGTTTCTTCTTCTCTTTGGTGGATTTCACACAAATTAATACAGCGTAGTAACAGGGCGTATTACTAAAGCGTACCTGCTGTAGTAGACAGAAAACACCTCTTCTTTAAGGACATGCTGAGACATAATGTGGTCAAACACCGGAGTAATCCCATCTATGGCCATGTTGGGATAACCCATCCCCAGAACTCCATCAAACTTGGCAAAAATGAAGGGCATGGCTGACAGAAAAGTGGCTTCAGTAAATACCTGCACCACAGGGATACCACCAACCTGCAGGGATCAAACAAGCACGAGCTGAAAAGTGTGACGTGGTATGGTAAGTCCAGACACATATTGTAAAAGAAACGGCTTTGATTTATTGCTCCCTGACTTTAAACTCACCACAACCACATCCTCACTGAGGAATCCCCTGATGTTTCCAGATGCATACTGGATAGAAAACCCGGTGCCGTTCTCCACGTAAGTGCGGGACTGGGATGCATCATATCTGCTGTGAGTAACTGAAGATTACAAATTCGTTTGTGTTAGAAACAACTTCTGGAAGAGTTTGCTTTAGAAACCTGACAAGTATTTGTGAATCTGTAATAATGTCACTTTTACAATTCACAATTATTTACTGTGAATTATGTGATCCACTCTGAGACGGTGCTATTTAAGAGACTGAGCTGAATACAGCTCCTCAGACTGAGGAAGTCTTTCAGATGAGAGACGAAACGTTTCTACATTTTTTGTTGATTTGCTTTTTGTTTTCTTTTGAATGTCCAGAGGACCAGATTTAACTTTTTTAGCTTTTTCTACCTGGATTATTGAGCATGCATCAGGATATGTGGTTAATAGTGTGAGCAGCAGCTAGCTGTAGCAGGTCTAGTGCAGCCTGGGGCACTGCTTTACACTGAAAAATTGTGCAAAAAAATGGACCACACCATAGTAAAGTTTTTGTAAACTGCAATATACATTCTTCAAGATATATTATTGGTGCATAGTGTTCACTACAGTGGACAGCTATTCAAAAGTAATTTCTTAAGGACGGCTGTGGCTGAGTGGTTAGAGCAGTCGTCCTCCAATGCAAGAGTTGGGGGTTCGATTCCACCAGCAGTCACATGTGTAAGTGTCCCTGGGCAAGACACTGAACCCCTCATTGCCTCCAATGTTTGTCCCATCAGTGTGTGAATGTGATAAAGCTCTGATTAATCTTTGTGCAGATCTAGTAGAGTGCTGTATGAATGGGTAAATGAGGCACAGATTGTAAAGAGCTTTGAGCATCTTGATAAGATAAAAAGGCGTTATATAAGTACAGCTCATTTATCATTTGCTGTAACTGCAGGATCATTTCCTCTGAACCAAACAAGGCGGATAGGCAGCCACATCTGTTGACCACCATAT